TCAGGTCTATAACATACATACACAATAAATCTATCAAACTCATACTTAAACATCAGTTCTAGCTAAAGTGACCGACACTATTGGAAATATACAGCCTTTAACAACTGACCGATTACAGGCAAGTGGGTGTTATGGTCCAGGCGGACGGGTTCTTCCCGGGAACCACGTGGATCACTGCAAATGCTGTAAGATGGACTCGGAAGGGGGAGGCGTAAGGCATATGGGAGTATGAAGCAACTAGATCGGTGGTGGGAAGGGCAAGGATGATGTCATCATCATCCTTGCCCTTCCCACCACCGATCTAGTTGCTTCATACTCCCCCATATGCCTTACGCCTCCCCCTTCCGAGTCCATCTTACAGCATTTGCAGTGATCCACGTGGTTCCCGGGAAGAACCCGTCCGCCTGGACCATAACACCCACTTGCCTGTAATCGGTCAGTTGTTAAAGGCTGTGTATTTCCAATAGTGTCGGTCACTTTAGCTAGAACTGATGTTTAAGTATGAGTTTGATAGATTTATTGTGTATGTATATTATAGACCTGAAGAAGGGCTTAGGCCCGAAACGTCGTCAAATAAATATTTCGAAGAGTTTCATTTAATAAGAAGACACCAAGAAGTTACTACCCAATGAAACTCAGGAACCCTATGATACTATCCGAAACACTTACTGTTGTTGGAATACCTCCTTGGCGTACTTGTTGTTTCGCAGAAACAATACAATGGTTCGATAGAGTGATATGTACATAGCTCCCAAAATACCACAAAGTATTCCAAGAACCACAAATAGAGGGAGTTCATTGACGACGAAAGCATCAGGTGCAAAGCTCGTTTGAAAGAATGCATTGACGGTAACTGAAATAAGTCTATGATCTCGAACGTTGTCTTTGTATAAAGGCCACATATCACCCCTCTACATCGTGCTACCTTATAGGGTAAAGCAACTACTCCGGCAAATAATGATCGTTCCATATGCGTTCTCCAACAAAAATCAACGAAACTATGTAGCGAAGGTGAAGAGCAGGAAATTGCTCTGAAGGATGTCTTCAAGGCTGATGGTAGCCAGGAGACTTTCAGCTGCTCCAATCCCAATCCTACCAGAGCGGTGGAAGAGCGGATTTCTACCGTTTTTATCCTTTGTCCTACTGCTGAGGGAGGTTATAGTGTCATGCGCTTCCCTGACCGATGGTGGAAAAATATTCCATATGACGTAGCCCTACTTGCCACGATACGTGGCATGCTCATTTGGATGCGCATAATAATCGAATGTAAACTTCAAGATTCAGCACCTTCGGTCTGAGCAACAAATCCTCTCAAAAGTCGAGTCGTTATTGCACCACAGCAGGCTGCAAAAAAACCGCGCCAGTAACTGCGTACAGTTTAAGTATGAGTTTGATAGATTTATTGTGTATGTATGTTATAGACCTGAAGAAGGGCTTATGGCCCGAAACGTCGTCAAATAAATATTTCGAAGAGTTTCATTTAATAAGAAGACACCAAGAAGTTACTACCCAATGAAACTCAGGAACCCTATGATACTATCCGAAACACTTACTGTTGTTGGAATACCTCCTTGGCGTACTTGTTGTTTCGCAGAAACAATACAATGGTTCGATAGAGTGATATGTACATAGCTCCCAAAATACCACAAAGTATTCCAAGAACCACAAATAGAGGGAGTTCATTGACGACGAAAGCATCAGGTGCAAAGCTCGTTTGAAAGAATGCATTGACGGTAACTGAAATAAGTCTATGATCTCGAACGTTGTTCTTTGTATAAAGGCCACATATCACCCCTCTACATCGTGCTACCGTTTTATAGGAAAGCAACCTACTCCGGCAAATAATATCGTTCATATGCGTTCTCCAACAAAAATCAACGAAACTAGCGAAGGTGAAGAGCAGGAAATTGCTCTGAAGGATGTCTTCAAGGCTGATGGTAGCCAGGAGACTTTCAGCTGCTCCAATCCCAATCCTACCAGAGCGGTGGAAGAGCGGATTTCTACCGTTTTTATCCTTTGTCCTACTGCTGAGGGAGGTTATAGTGTCATGCGCTTCCCTGACCGATGGTGGAAAAATATTCCATATGACGTAGCCCTACTTGCCACGATACGTGGCATGCTCATTTGGATGCGCATAATAATCGAATGTAAACTTCAAGATTCAGCACCTTCGGTCTGAGCAACAAATCCTCTCAAAAGTCGAGTCGTTATTGCACCACAGCAGGCTGCAAAAAAACCGCGCCAGTAACTGCGTACAGAAAAGTACATCGTTGTCACTTCTATGGAAAACAACACGCCTGAAAAGTTTCTCAACGTTCTCTTATAAATCCATCACCATTTGTCATCGAAACATGTGCATTAGTTGGGCTGCAAAAGTGTTTGAAGTCACATTTACGATGCAGAGATCGGGACCTAGCCGCGCCAGCTGTTTTTATCAATATACCACAGTGCGTAACAAAAGTATGTGGACACCTCAAAATCTAATTTCAAAATGTAACTAAAACACTTTCTTGATCTGGATCCTTCCTCAATCGATTCGTCGTGGCCGATAACGCTATAATTGGGCACTAGAGCAATAACGAAGGTTTGTTTTCGCAACACATTTTTGAATAGAATTTCATTGTTTGCACCAAAGTGTGTGGACACCTGAGAAAGTCCAAAGTTTGGCTCCAAACCTGCACTTCATTTTCAGCGTCTCTAATCCCCATTAACCTGCACTCATGCCTCGCGTGATAGTACTTTCTCCGAAGAAGAACAAGCTCAGATTCGAGCTCTCAGTGCTGCTGGACACTCAAATGTAGAAACTGCACGACAGCTCGGACGTTCGGCGCGAGCGTTGGTAAATACCTCCAGAATCCTGATGAATGCAGCACTTATTTCGGGGCGCCCACGATCTTTGTCCACAAAAGACATCAGAAGAATAGCGCGTACTGCCTCGAACTCCCCCTTTGAGAGAACCCATGCTGCAATGAATCTACCGGTCTCAAAAATGACAATATGGCGCTATATTCAATCAAATGAGCACATCACTCGAGAGACATGAAGAAAGCTCCCTGTGTGGCTGCCAAGCACCAAATGGCAAGACTGAACTTTGCGCGTGCAAACATGGCGACGTCATGGGACAAGGTGAAGTTTTTTGAGAAATTTGTAAAAAGAAAGACAACATCTTATGCGCATTTCTTTCTTAGTTATCCTCACTGACTGGAAAAAGTTCAATCTGGACGGTCCAGATGGATATCGGCCCTAGTGGAAAGACCTTCGTTGCGACCCATTGGTGTTCTTAAAGACACATGGTACGCTCAA